TCATTAGTGTTCTTTGGCACAGCCTCTTTTCTGAGTGTTTGGTATGTGTGTGCGTTTTGTTTTTTTTTCTTGACACGACTGAATATGATTATACGTCTCTTCCGTATCCTTCTGCAGCATGCGACGATATTGACGCCCGATTTGTTTAATCATGCTGCTAATACGTAGTTTTTTTAACGGTGTGTTTGATCGTCTACCATTTTTTTTTATCTTGTAATTTCTGTGTGCTCGTTATTTAACGCTTCTCTCTTGAATTTCTAGAGCGATTTTGGCTTCGATTTTTCCTCTCGATAAGTGCCTGCAGAGCTTCACAAAAAAAAGGAAATTAAAAGAAAAATGCACGGAGAGATTTTTGCTACCTTTTCTCTCTTTCTCTTTCTCTCTACATCTATCTATCTTTTTCTCCGCGAATCGCCAAAGTAGTTTGTTTGCCACCGTTTGTGCTGCTCTCTGTTTTATCTGAATTTTATTGTAAACACTTGAAAGTTACCACGACTTCGTTGTTGTTGTGGCTGTTGTTATTGTAATAATCTTGGAATTGCTCTTTTTGGTGATGGAATGCATCTGGATTTGACCTGTAATATTGTGCATCTTGTTGCCATTATATATTTGTATATGTATATACAATATATATATATGTATGTATGTATATATATATATATCTGTACATATATATGTATTATTTCATATTTGTTTCCCGTATTGTTGTGCCAGTTTCTTTTCATTAAAACGTTTGTGATGTATCGAATAATCGATTCTGGTTATTCGAGAAATAACTGTCTCGTAGTCTGCACGGTAAGTGACTGTCCGTTACGGAAATTCTTTCATGAGTTCTTCATGTGCAATGCAGTCTGTGCAAAATCTGTTCACCATTGCATCTTTCACAAATATGACGCGAAATTTTGCAAGCTTAGAAATATTATACTCTTGAATATCTAAATTCAAAGAATTCTAAAAACCACGTGAATAATAGAGAAGAATTTCATACACGTTTTTTGGACTCTTAAGCTTTTTAATTATATAAATATTCTACAAACTGAATTCAGTACTAAATTTTGCACAGACTTTCACTCCCCCCCAACTCTGAACCTCCAATAAACCATGAAAGAATCCTGTGAAATGGCGGTCACTTACCACCCAATCAGCTAAAGCCAATCAATCTGAATCTCATTTCTCACCGCTTGTCACATCATACACATGACGTGATGGGAAAAACCCCGGTAAAAGGGATAACCGAATCGATTATTGCTGGCGGTCATCACACGAATTGATCTCTAAATCATTGTCTCTAAGCCAGTGTGCATGGTCATTAGCTTCTGACGCAAAGCGCAACTGGGTATGTGGTCGGTTTGTAATCAGGTGGTACACGTCGGGGTCGTCAGAATGCAACTTCGTCGAGTACTTCGAGTCCCTCTCCCGCAGCGCCCTCCGCGTCCGCTGCGGGAGCGTCCACGCAGCCACAGTCGCAGACGTCTCAGCCACAGCCTCAGCCGTCGTCGCAGTCTCAGCAGCAGTTGTCTCAGCAACAGCAGTCTCCGCAACAGCAGCAACAAACGCAGCCTGCCACGCAGCAGACGCAGCCGGCGGCTCAGCAACAGCAGCAATTGCCCGCGGTACAAACAACGGCAGCGCCTACCTCACCGACGATACCGGTCGCGAAGGAAGATCAGCTGCCTGCCGCGCCATCTCCCGGTACCGCGGTCCCCTCGCCGTCCTCGGTGAGAACAGAGGGCCCACCAACGCCGGGGACGAACGAAAAAAAAGCTGGCAAGTCCGCGCAACCGTCCCCGTACTGCGACTTCTGTCTTGGCGATGCTAGGGAAAATAAAAAGACCGGCGGCTCCGAGGAGTTGGTCTCTTGCAGTGATTGCGGTCGCTCAGGTAAGCCAGAGGAAAAGATCAAGCGCAAGTATACGCGGAGAACGAATCACAATTAAGAGATAGCACGGGAGATGCAGCATACGCCATTGTTGTGGCAGTTCCCGTGGTGATGTGTGATCCTAGCGTGTTTTTAGGCTCATTTCGTCGATCGTACGACCGATGGTTCCCACGGGAATATATGTGGCTCTTCTCGTACTTCTTTTTTTTTTTTTTTTTTATTATTATTAGAAGATAGACGCGCTATTGGCCGTGTACGCGAGGATAGTATATTTGCTTGAATGCTTGTTATGATTGTAGGTTGTTCAGTTAGGTGCTAAGGAGGAATGTACAGTGGCGTAGGAATATCTCTGACCAAATGGACTTTTCTGGTAATTTTCAATACTCGGACATATCTTGTGAAGATGCATTTATGATATTATATGGTGTTTGTTTGTTTCTTTTATTATTTAATTTTAGGTAATGTGTACTTGTGGGATAATTGTTAGTTGAGAAAATTGGAAAAATCTGTCTGGCTGGGATCTTCTTTTTTTTTTTTTTTTTTTTTTAAATCTTTCCTTCAAGTTTCTAACTGAGGAACAATGTTGAGGATACATATTACAAAAAGGGAATCAAATTGGAGATACTATATACTACCCACTAAAGAGATTTGCAGTTTTTCTCTTCTCATACAAGCCATATATATTCCTTCCAGCACCTATAACTTTAATGCAACTTAGAATTGTCCAATAATTTAACTTGCTAGATGAGATTTCATAGAAACTGTGTTTTATAATATCTCAGCCATTTCTTCCTCTAATTGGGACCTCTGTTTATCTCTTCCTGAAGAATCTTTGTAGAGGATAGGTGTTTATAGTTATGGAGGAAGCCACGCCTTGGTGCTCCACCATTTCCAATAGTCTATTTGGGCTGTTGTCTTCCGGAAGTGTAAAATTAGTTCCACCTGTCTATTCCTTTAACTAGATAACATACAGCTCTAACGTATAAGATATATTCAAATATTCCGTAATCTTCAGTACTCCATTATTTCATATATCTTCTAGTCTTCGTTTCTACAAAGTCTTCTCACAGATGGAAAATAGAACAAAACGTATAATTTTTGGACTTCTTTATTACTAGACATTAAATCTCGATTGTCCTCACGAACACAGCCAGTAGCGCAGTTTTTCTCTCCTGTGTCTCCTTATGATCCGTGACTTGTGTTCACACGGTAAGAGCCGCGACATAATCTCGCGTTTCTTCGCTGTTCGTTCGATCTATTTAACGATCGACAGAGTCAATGAACTGTTCGTCTGTTGAAGTGCATTTTTTTTTCTCTTTTTTTTTTCATTCTCGTCAGGATCGAGTTTTGTTCGTTTTTTAAATGAAATCGATTGTTGTATTTTATCGGCGTCCACCTACGCTTCGATCGCTATTTTTCATACCGTTAAGGATAATTCGATTTAACCGATAAGGATCGTGACGAAAGAGAGAGAGAGAGAGAGAGAGAGAGAGAGAGAGAGAGAGGACAAAAAGAAAAAGAAAAAGTACTATTTTTTGGGCTGAGGATGAGACGATAAAAAAAAAAGAAACTAGTTACTGTGTGACATACGTTCGAAACCATCGTTAAAGGGTAGTTCATGTGTGCAATAATTTAAGGGATTATCAATTATCTGCACGGTTTCTAGATGGATGAAAAAGAGGAAAAAAATGTGTGAGAGAGAGAGAGAAAGAGAAAGAAAAAAAATATGAATGGTTACGAGCTTTACGTACACTAGTCAAGGCACGAAAAGCAAAAACATCACTTTGTCAATGGTGCAACTTGTCGCATCTGAGTAATAGGAATTTTCCGGCGAAATTCCTTTACTGCACGGATCAACTGTGATTTATTGTGTAATTCAATGATTAGTTTTTAAGGGAAAAGAAACAAATTTTTACGAAGGAAAGAGAGACAAAAAAAAAAGATGAAGAAATAAGAAAGATTTACTATGTACAAAAAAAAGAAGAAAAAACAGAATGAGAGAAAAAAGAAATTCAACACGATAAATACATACGAATCTCGCTCTGGAATATTTAAAGAAGGGATGAGAGAGAACGAGAGAGACAAAAAAAAATATGAATACAGAATACGTCGATGAAGTAAATAATCAATTTTACTATTCACGGAGAGTTAGATGAAATTTTTGAAAGAAACGCGTTTGAACGTTTTTTCCTTTGGATATGAAAAGAGAAACGAAAGTAAAAAAAAAAAAAAGAAATTCCTGTTGCACAGTATCACTAGAGCACATATTGAAGAAGATGTGTTTGTGTTCCCTGTTTGACTACAGTGTAATCGCGTCATTTTTTTTTTACGTTGTTCCGTTCGAAATAAAGGAAAACGAAAGAAAAAGGATCAATAAGAGAGAACACGAAGCTTGCCGCGAAGAAAAATTGATCGTTCCGCATGATCGCGAAGTTTTAAGAGAGCTTAAACAACACAAAAAAAAAAAAACGATACGATATACAATATATATACTTTATATTATTGACATTATCCAGCACAGTCGTGAATCGTTTAACGAGAGCAACAATATTTATATATAGTAAGATGAGGGGGAAAAAATGATGAAGAGGATCGACCATGTTTTTTCGATACTTCTACACTTTTTCGAGTCTGTAAATATCCTTTTTTATTTTCCGTTTTTTCGAGTGTTTCTATTTACAGAATATATTACAATAGAGATACACCACAGCCATAAGAGCGCAGCACATATAACGCTAGTAAAAATGTACTATCGTTCAAAATACTCAAAAAAGGAACAAAAAGAAAAAAAAGAAGGAAAGCCTTCATTTTTACGGTACTACGATCATGTTTCCATTGTCGCGTCTTCTTTTCTATCGCATTTGCTACCGATTGCATTTTTTTAAATACGCGCAAAAAGAGCTGATTTTTCGTACGAGAGAAAATTGGTACGAAGAAAATCGTTTCCCGCCATTTTTAACGCGTCCCCGTAGACAAGATACTTTTTCAAACGATCGACTTACGGGAGATTTCGAAACAATCGTGACGAAAGATCGTAATCTCGATGAAAAGAATAAAACAAAGGGACTAATTTTTGCACGCGATATTTTTTTAACTTTGCAATAACTTTTTCTTGTTTTTAGACATTCCACTTGTAAATCTGCTGCTCTTAAAACCTTCCTTTTCGTTCTGGGCATTAATCGTTTCCGTCTCACGTTGCATATTATACATAATATAGTAATCGCCTTTTTACCATTCGTAATCGTCATCAAATGACGAGCATATATATATTTATTGCATACGTAGAGAAAGGGATAAGGGACAAGTGAACCGACGACAGACGTAACCGGAAGTTGCGTGTACAGAGGGTGAAGCAAAACAAAACATAAAATTCTTTCTTTTCTTTCCTAATGAGTTTCTTCGCTCTTTCAGGCACGATATCGGCCATACGTCGTATTTTAGAATAAAAAAGATTAAAAAAAAAAAAGAACAAAGAAAAGAATGTATCTATATCTGATCATCTTAGAGACTCGATAATAGCTTAGTTTTGTACAAGCTTTGATATTCGTACAAGAAAATATCGTTCGAATGTTAGAATTAACGGTAACAAGTAAAAAAAAAAAAAAGAAAATAAAATGAAAAAAGGGAAGAAAGAAAGAAGAAATTGTCGTTTTAATACTCGTATGATATTTGATGAGTTCATTTTCGTCGTAGTGGAGATCGTCGTCGTCTCACCATCCGGTATTATTCACTTTAACGGACACACACAACACCTCCCCCAACCGGTACTACAGTCCGCGTGTTCGTTTTCCACAATCAGTAGCTGGTTTTTAAACGCTAACGTTATATCATTATCATAGATTTACGAATAAACCGATACGAGCGAGTTGTAATACGTACGCACGTACTCGATACTTTTCCCCTTGTTATTAATCCTTATGTCCGACGTGCAAGAAAAGCGCAGCGGGTAGGTAGGTTACTGATTTCACGGTGCGTCTAACTAACCGACCGAGGTGTACACATACATATACAGCGCAGAAACACACTGGTATTCCGTAGGGTATATCGTGTGTTACGACACTACGTACGCGTGCAGTTTCTTTGTATCCTTTCTGCTGGAGCATCGTCGACGGCAGTCTTCTCGAGTCTTACCAAAAAAATGCAAAAAAAAAAAAAGGAAAAAACCGTAAGATAGGAGTAATATAGACGAAAAAAGAATTGAAAAAAAAAAACAGTTAAGAAGCGAAAGAGAGAGAGAGAAAGAGATCCTTTTAGGGTAAATACGTTTATAATTTAACCGTGGTAGCGCTGATGCGACGCGAGAGAGAGAGAGAGAGAGAGAGTGAGAATAAATCCGAAGGTAAATCACTATCGTATCTTGATGAACCCTTCTATTAACCGTATTAAGGAAGAGAGAGACTCACACACACATGGTATAAGAGAGAGGGAGAGAGAGAGAGAGAAAGAAAGAAGAAAAATGATTGAAAGAAATAATAATAATAATAATAATAATTACAA